TATATATATATGTAAATTAAAATGTCCTTCCGGAGCGGGCGACGGGACTTCACTTCCAGCGCCCGACAGCTTCTTACGGACAACTTTTGAACAAATGACCCACCAAATATGGCTGGCAGGTGGAGGTGGGCTGGAATTGTGTTCACGGGAGAGGGAAAGGCAGGATACGGGAGATAGACTTGGTTTGTTTCATGGGAGAGGAAGGGAACCAAGCAGCTGGACTGTAGGACCCGCTGCGGTTATGGCAGAGCGGGAAAGGGAGTGACGCTGGCAAAGCTGTAGGGGAATAGACAGAACTGACATGAGGGAGTTTCGCGGGAAGGAGCAGGGTTGGAGTAAGTATTGCGGGGAAAATACAATCCACACCGGGGAGAGGGATACAGCCAGAGCACCACCCTAGCTGTCGGACACAACCCTCGAGGGGAAATTATGATGTCAGGGGCTGTCCTTAAAAATCTGAAATCAGAAATAACATAAATTATTTTCCTAAGACCTAAATCACATATAAATAGAAGTGGGATGGGCGGGAAATTTCCCGCCTAATGGAAAGAGGGGAGGAGGGCCCGGTTCAGCCCCCTCTCTCAACTGAACCGATACGGGTCAATCCAGTTCACTTTTGGAGGAAACCCCCCGTGTCACAATTTTGAAAAGACAATTGTTGATGAATTATCAGTTGGCATTTTTCCTTTGATGTATGAATTGATTTTGATTCTATCTTTGGCCCCATCATGCGAGTTAAGTAATGTTAATATATAAAAAAACTTGCTAAAGATGAATATCAAGTTAAATTTAAACTTAAACTGAAAACTTCATCTATGTTAATCCTAATGGCGCAAAATTCACCATACATTTTTTATTTTTAATATGTACTTGATGTTGGTTTATAGGGAAAACTCATGAATAGTTCTTGAAATCATATTACTGCATATTGCCTGAATGCTATCCCACTTTAGCTCTATATGCTTGTTAAGAACCCACTTTAGCCGCAACAAAGCACTTGTAAGAAGCAATATGTAATAAACAATGCGGCATAAGCAATTGTAGACCATTAGTGCTTGCTAGACAGCCCAAGGACTCATTTCTATAGACCATGAAGATGGGAATCTATAATATACATCATTACTAAATTTTTCTGTGTTTCTTAACGAGAAAACATTCTCCCGTTTTAATGACTGAAAGAAATGTGATGGCTTTTTTCATCTTCTGTAAGTATTGAGGTTGATCATGTGAAAGGAAAATATTGGTCCCTGAAGTTGCTCAAGTCCATAAGAGAAAGCAAAAATGAGTTCGTAACTAATTATGTCAATGAATGAATTGGAGCCATAGATGTTCAGTGAACCATTTCTGGAATTGAAAAGATACAGATGAGGTTGTTTTTATGATAATTTTACAGAATCCGTCAGCGCTTAATGCAATTTTGAACATTTATAGAATGTACCAATATATTTATCTGGTGTCACTGCTTTCACATTTTTTTGAGTTGATCATGTTTATGCGAATGGTCTTTCTCATTACTCTCTCTAATTCGCTGAAGTTAAATTCTTATAACAGTAGAGATTTGATTAAAAAACCAGAATCAGATATAATACTTCTGCTATTTTGCTTCAGTTTTATTGATGAATCTGATTTGTTATAGACTTCAATGCAGCTGCAATAACTCCAAATACAACTATTGAGACTGATTCATCAAACCGACACAACAACCTTGAGCTGCAGGAGCTCATCATTTACAGGAATTCGGAGGCCACCATGAATATATTTTCAGATGAAAAAATTGATTCATGCCACAGTCAATTGTGTAGCTCTTTTAAGACTGGATTTTCTGAAGCTAAACAACAACCAAAAGACTCACTAAGTTCAGGAAAAGCGAAAATTGATTTACAAAAATTTGAGAGTTCTCAGAAGTTTCCTGACAGTCAAAGAGTAGCAGACACTAATTCTGAACAGTTTTTGGCACCCTTTGAATCTATAGCCATGGAAGAAGGAATTCATCAAATCATAGGCGGGGAAGCTATTAAATTGGAAGGCAGTGTTCAGATAATTCAAGACAAATCGAACCATGATGGAGAGAGATTATGTGCTTCTGAAGAACAACCCCAACCAGTTGGACACGATGAAGACTCAGAGGCCAAATATTTTGCAGGTGATCCCCCAGCAAAAGTGGATGAAGCCGCACCATTAAGTAAACGTGTTGATAATTTAATGGAGAAATTGCTCTGTTTGACCAAAGTACTCCGAGGAGAAATTGTTCCACTTTCAACAGGTCAGCTTCTTCAGTAACTATTTCAAATTGTTCAATTATATCTGTTTTCTTTTATCAATTTTGAATTATACCAATGATTCTTGCATTTAGCATCTGCAGATTTATTATCTCTGCCATGTGAGGAAGCAATATCTTGCAAAGAATCACCCGTCGCTGGTAAGAAAGAAATGAAATCGGTAGAATCATTTTCTTCCCATGAACAAGAGAGCCAGATTCTCAATCCCGCAGTTCCTGTGCATGATGATTGCGAACAGGATATTTCAAAATTTGAAGTAAATATACCCAAAAAAACTGATGAAGTTGCCATTATAATTTCACCAGATGCTTTACAAGCAAGCTCAGAATTGGGGAAGTGTATGAAAAGTTGCAAAAGAAATAACACTGCTGCAGCTTCTCTTTACAAATGTGATTTTTATATTAAGCCTACTCTAGGGAAAACTTGCCAAGCTGTGAATGGTATGGAATTCTTAGGGACTCGTCAGGGTGTTTTAGCTGAACCGGAAGAAGCCTTGCAAGACAATAAGCTTGTTTCTCCCAGTAATCCAAGTAGTTTTGATTTGGAAGGCTTTTTAAAGAGCAAATTAAACAATATAACTAACAGTCCTGAAAAAGATATCAACCATTTTGGAAGTAAATGCCTTTCTGAAACTTCAGATTCTCACAGTTCTCCTACAAGTACACAAGCAGATGCCAAATATATAGTTGATATTTTAAATGAAGAAGTAGTCATTAGAGCTTCGTCAGAGGTTTTACAGGAAAACTTAGAATTGTGGAAATGCATGGAAAGTTATGAAAGTGATTGTGCTCATAATCAGCCTGCTGAAGCAGAGTCCTGTGGAGCTGGTCGTATGAATGTTATGGATTTCTTAGAGCCTAATCAGTTTGCTACAACTAATCCTAAACCAGTCCTGGAGAAGATAAAGTCTGTTTCTCCCAGTAAACGAAGTAGTTTTCACTTAGAAGATGACAGAAATTCTTGTTCCAGTTGCTTTTCTAAGAAGATCAAGTTAAACAATGACAATGTAACTAACAGCCCCGGTAAATATATTCAACATTTTGGATCTCAATGCCACTCTAAATCTCTAAATGGTCACAGCTCCCTTCCAAATAAACAAGCATATGCTAAACATTCATTTGATATATTAGATGTAGAATCCCAGGAAGGCTCCATCCTAGGAGCTCATAACCTTGTTGATGCTGTTCCTTCTGAAGTCAAAGGTGAGTACCATACCTTGACCTTGTCTGTGTGGAAAAATCGATCCAATGAAGTTCAACTTTAATCTCCTTTGATTCATGCTTGGTTAGGGTTTGTTTCCAACTAACATCTCTGTCAAAATTTAATTTTTTTTGCATTATTTCTTTTTGCAGCATCATTCGGAAACAGTTCTAAAGATCCAGTTAAGGAGATCAGCCGCAACTTCTGTGTCTCCAGCTCACGAAAAGCTGCTAAGCCTAAAACTTCTAATACACCAATAACAAATTCTGCTAGGTTTTCTTCTGCCGGTCTTATGAGGGACAAGGAGAACACACAAAGTACAAAGATGAAGTACTCTTCCAAGCGCAAAATAATGAACTCAGTCTCAACCGGCCCTATCCGAAAACCTCTACGAAGTGTCATCAATCAACTGATTGAATAACCATATTTCTACACTTATCAAGCTTCAAAGAGAATCTATACAATAGTGTACTAATTTGTGTTAAGAATTTACAACGTAATGTTGTTTGTATGATGATTATTATTTCCCACGAGTTATGATTTGAGAAGATGCTAATGAAGTGATTTATATATATATATATATTTATTCGATCTTATGATCATTGATTACAGACTGTAGATGGAAGGGTTTTTTACATAACTATTGTGGGTTTTGTTACTTCATACAGGTAAGCAACAGATATGAAGCTTTGCTTTTTCCTTGTATGTTCTTCTCTTTCTTCTCCGATTTCCTCTTCTCTGTATCTCTTGGGAGTCACCTTTTTGTTCATCTTAATGCATTCTTCGAGTCTGCCATCGTCTTCTCCGGCAAAGCTCAGCTGAACCAGCTTCCATGCCGCAGCCATGTCTATCTCGGTTAGACTGTTTACCATTGCAGCTGTATGGTTTGAAGGAGAGGGAGAGAGAGAGAGAGATTAGGGAAGACGCAATTGTTCAGTATCATGTTGCTTTCACTTGCTTATATTAGTTATGAGGGTCTACGCTACAATTGCTTGGAAAGGGAAAATTTTCAAGTCAGGTTGGCTCCAATTGCAAGTTTGTGACGGCGCTATTTCGTTATATAATATAGCAGACACAAAAGAGTTATGTCAAAAAAAGGAAATCAGATGCAACAGATTGAGCGAAATATAGGTGCAAGTATTTAAAATAGTATGCATACACACGAGTTGTCCTTATTGTTCTTTTTCTTAAGGCTAAATAATAATCATATAACATGTCAGCACGAATCTCAAGTTAGATAAGGAAGAAACGGACGGCATAACGTAGCAGTTGACGACTATTTCAGGTTCGATGATGGTGATAAAGACTTTTTATTCGAGCGATTGGTGGAACATGCTAGAAAATTTCTTGCAGAGCGGTGACCAACCATCAGGACGATTGAGAGGAAATAAGCTTTCAAATTAAATATCGATCGATTCGAGGCTTACCGAACTCGAACGATCGATGAACTCTTATTGACCGAATCAACCCCTAGATCTTACTATTTGTGAATAACTCTGTAAGTACTAAAAAGTTCTTCTGAAAAGTAAATGATGATGAGACTAAAATGTGCTTTTGTAATATTGGAGTCTGTGTCTATAAATTGGGGGTTTATGATGTGAATAAATGTTACACTCTCTTTACTTCTTATCGTGCTCTCTCATCCTCTACTTTCCTCTCTTAACGTTATAAACCTTGGGTGTGTTATCTGGACGTTTTTGGATTTAACATTCTTAAAGATGCAGTGAGCATGGAAAGATATCATTAACAAAAAGAGGATCTCAACAACATTAACAGGGAGAATCCAACTAGAACGTGGTAGAAGCAACATATACCGTGGAGTTCATGTAAGAATTCGTCCAGCAAGGCCCGACAAGACTCGAGGACCCATATCACCAACCAGATGTCAAGACAATCTGTAAAAGTGCTCATGGCAATTGTTGCCCTAGCGGTGGCCCCATTTTCAGAAGGAGGACCAACCCAACAAGAGGCGGTCAAACCCCCCTCAAAGGGAACCATCGACAAACAACGGGAGAAGAACGATCCACCTACAGGAGAAGCCCGACGACTGGTTATACCAATATAGTGTCGGATCTGCTTCTATGGAGGAGAGGAACATACCAGCGCTGACCAAGGTACATAGGTAGTCGGAAAATGCTTTCTCTCTATAGGTCTCGGGAGCTGAACACCCAAAGAAGTTCAAGATGCCCATCCTAAAATCATGAAAAGGATGATCAGATCCCAGTGACCATCTTGCATTGTTCGAATCATCCATATGCATGTTGAAAATTTTTAATGCCTTTAAGTGTAAGCTATTCTTCACAACGTTGACATCAACCGCATTAAGGTGGTTTAAGGTTTGCCCGTGGGGGTAATCACCTGTTTTGTGGAGTTCAAAAGAATTTTTCTATCGATGTTTGTTAGTGCCCTGAGGCCTAAGAAGAACACCCGATCCCAATGACAACTGAAGCAGGGAGCCGACGAGAGCCTACGGTCATTTATCGCATGTTTCCAGAGTGAAACTTTGGATGTCAAGGATCTGAAACCTGACATGGACCAAGCTGCACTCACACATGGAGTGAGGTCGGAAAGATTTTGTTTTGACCTTGAACTTGCAGAGCCACTGAGCTTGGTTGAGCTGCTAAAGATGGCCAACAAGTATATCGTTTCCTATAAAAACACTCAGGAACCTATCGAACATAGACACCAGAAATGACCGCCACAAGACAACAGAAAGCAACCCATACAAAGCACACGATTGACCGTCCGCCCACATTACGAGAATCACCATGATAACAACCCCATTCATCGTCACGAGGATGAAAGGAGGCGAGTGAAGGCCCCACACCACCAATCGACTCGGTACCGTGAATACATAAGCAATCACTAGGCCCCTTGAGAAACACCACCAAGGGTGTCAATGACAGAATTAGTGGTCGTTATTCAGGATAAAGAGTACTTCAGAAAGGCAACCACGATGAGAGAGGGTAACTTTGTTCGAAACAGTAGGAAGTATTATAAATATCACAAAGATCATGGGAACGACATAGAGAAAGGCAAACAACAGTGGAGCATGATCGAAAAAATGATAAAGGAGGGAAAGCTGAAAGAATTTGTCGCTCCTAAAGCTGCGACCTAGAGGCAAGGCAAAACACATGTAGGGGGAACGACCGAAGGACCATTCCGCACCAATTTCATTCACATCGGCGGATACGTGCCACAATATTTTGTGGAAGCAAACCATCTAATAAGGTAAATCAAAAGAGGCAACAAACAGGGCAACTCTGTGCCTCATCCTTTACACAAAAATCGAAGAGACACCCACCTATCTATTTTACTAATGAGGATCTACTTCTGAAGGAAAATCTGTATAACGAAGCTAGTGTGATAAAGACGATAATTAATAATTATCAAGTTGGGAGCATCCTCATTGATATCGAGAGCTTTGTTAATGTGTTGTTCGAAGAAGTATTCGACAGACTGGGTCTCACTGTTGATCAGATGACTTCACCAGTCGGACCATTGTATGGTTTTCAAGTAAAAGGAAGGAAGCATTAGTGGTAATTGGGTTTTACTGTAAGCTAGGGGGAAAATGAAATGCAGTTTACGCTAAAGGAAGTTTACATTGTGGTGGATTCTCCCCCGACATACATGTTATATTCAGTTGACCATTTATGAACAATTTTAGAGCAGTGGTCTCCACTTATCATGTCGTCGTCAAATTCTCTCGATATGAATAAATTATCACAGTCAGTGGGACCTAAAACAGACCCGAGTCTACGACTTGCGGGCCATAAGAAATGTGGAGCACTATCTCATGGACTTTTAGAACACAAGGTAAGGTGGCCTTGTGACCAACGAGACCACTCGCGAAGTCCCAACCTTTGAAGGGGAGCAAGGTAAATGTTTTATGATAAGTAAAGCTTTTGATGCATGACATAGGGAGATGTTGGCAAGAAAGCTGAGAGGTCTTCACTTTGACGGCCGCTGAAATGTCAGGCATGTCAATCGATGCTGTCTGCCACAGACTGAATGTCGATCCATCAGCTTAGGCGATGAAGCAGAAGATAAGGAGCTCAACGATGATATTGGCAGGAACCATCCGAGAGGAGGTACGAAAGCTGAAGGAGGTTGGATACATTTGAGAAGATCATTACCTCACTTGGGTCTCCAATGTGGTGATAACGCAGAAAGTTAATGAAAAATGGAGGATGTTCGTTGACTTCACCAACCTGAACTCAACCCTCCCAAAGGATGCATACCTGCTACCAATGATTAATGCACTGGTAGATTTGGCGATCGTCGATTCAATCCTAAGCTTCCTCAACGCATTCTTCGGGTATCACCAGATTAACATGCACTCCACTGACGTAGAAAAAACCTCTTTTATTACGTCTGAATGAACCTTTTGTTACAGTGTAATGCCTTTTCGGCTTAAGAATGCAAGATCAGCTTACCAACACCCAATGAATGTAATCTTTGCTAATTAAAAAGGAAGAAACATGGAGGTGTATGTCAATGATATGTTAATTAAGTGTCGGTCGACCTAGCAACACATTGAAGACCTAAAAGAAAATTTTCTAGCACTTAAAAAATTAAACATGAAATTAAACCCATTGAAATGTATATTTCGGGCAATGAAAAAAAAATTTATTTATATACTTTCTAATCCTCGAATACATAAAAACTAACTCAGAAAAGATCCAAGCACTCCTCGACATGTCCTTCTGATCCCGATATTTTTTTATATGTAGAATTTAAGAAGTTGACACCACTACTTGAAGATTTTAATGCTCGACAATGACACCAAAAACTTGATCCCCGATACTTCCTAGATGCAACAATATAACAATGACTTTAATTATTGTTTTCACTTATATTTACTTATATTTCCTTACTTTGCAATACTTTGCAATAATACCAAAAATTTGATCCTGAAGAAAATAAGAATTTAACTTTTTAATTAATATATATATTGGGATACTACTAAGTATACATATCGTTATAAAGTAATATTGGAATTTTTGAATAGGACCTGAATATCGAACTCACAGGGAGAATACACAATATGCACTTTTAATAAACAAACTTTCTATTCTAAAAATGCAATTACTTAAACTACAAATATTTTCGTCATATTAAAATTCAAATCTTTTTGGTATTTTTTGATATTTTGATAGAACAGTAACAATTTAAAAAGATAACTTGAGTTTATGTAAAAGAAAAGTACTAACTTTGATAAATATCTTTCTCTTTATCATGAATAAGTAATAAGTATAGGAATTATGTTATGGAAGTATGCAAATTGTGTTGTGCCAAATATGAGCATTTATATTCCTTACCCTTACTAGAGATGCTATAAAGAACATTGACTAATTTAAAATTTGAATAGTTCTGAAGACCGACTAGGCAGGGAAGATACCGGCTCTCACTCTAGAGTTCCTTCGATTCCCTCTACCTAGACATAAAATAATAAACCAAGTGGGGGCTTTTAACCTGTCACTTTAAAGTCGTCTAACTCTACACTCTTCAATGATTATTATCCTATTTATATGTTTGTCGGCGCTA